GATTCAAGCGAAAGTGACGTCAGGCGATTAAGATAATCTTTGCTCCATTCTTTATTCACCAGAACTTTTTGTTGTGAGGGCAAAGAGCCTGTTAAGAGAGTTAACAAGATTTCTTGTCCACTTGTATCAGGTGTAGGCTGTGGATAAAAATGGTCGTGCTCTCCCAGTGATTCATTTAAAATCGCGTCGGTTACCTGGTTAGTGGCAGCGCCAACAATGTACGTTTCTAGTAAAGTCTCAGAGTTTTCTGTCATTTGAACATCTTGAGTTGCTGAAAGTTCTTCCATAATTGAAAGATGCAGTGCATTTTCGGTAATAATGGATGTTTGACGCGATCTGATTGGCCAAATGGGTAAACCTAATAAAATTAGGACATTCAAATATTTATTAAAAAAACACTTCTATATTTGTGCATTGAATCTTTGATTTTATTATAGAAAATTTAAAAAAGTCCTTTAACAAGCATATGAGTATGGAAGATTTGTAGATGAATCAGATGCCAAAAAAGAATATCATTTTAAATGAAAATGTTCGTTTACCATCCGCTTTTTTGGCTAGATATTTTCTTTTTTTTTGGTGGATACTGTATATTTAAACTATTGATGATTGTCATGCACATAATCACATAAGTACGTGTGTACCAATTTTCGTTTTATTAAGAAAAATGGTTTACAAGATACCATCATTGGTTGAAGACAGAATTTCACCACGAGCGAAGAAATTGATCGCTTTACTTGATGATTTTGTCGAGGTTGCGATGGAATTGTCATATATAATTGAGTCTCTTTAAATAAATCCTTTAATCACATTTTTAATGATTTAGAATGAATGCATCCCAGCTGAAGAGATTTTCCTTTCTCAACTTGGACAAGGAGAGAATAGGTGGAAGGTAAGCAAGTTCAGATTTTCATGCAATATAGTTACATTATCTTGTGAATTTATTTGATATAGGTGATTCCACCTGTCATGGAAGAACTTAAAAGCAAGGCAAAATCACTTGGACTTTGGAATCTTTTCCTTTCGAA